CCTGCTGCCAGTGGGCAAGCAGTCAGGGCCAACGCACACACAGCTCCCCTGCTCCCTGTCCAGCCACGATAGTTGCTACCTTGGAAGTTTCTTTCCACTCTGACTCCCAGCTTTGCAGCACGAGCACCCACTCCGCCAGTGAAGATTTGTCAGGGAGAGGTGATTTATCACGTGAAGATTTGTCAATGGCGAATTTACCATTTATCACTATTTATTAGCTATAGTACGTCAGCATACCCTTGAGCGCTTGAGACGTGTGATACTTGGGGGTTGTGGAGAATTCTGGCCATGATTCCTCAGAATTCATACATCATTGACTAGTCTCCAAAAACTCTTTTTTTTTTTTTTAAATTGCCAGAGGGCTCATGTGCTCACCAGAGAGAGAGAGAGAAAGCACCTCTCAGTGGAGTGCAGCCATGCCATGATTCCCTTTCTTCTGCTTCCTCACCCTGTCAGATCTGGGCATGCACACACATGCACCCAACACATTCTTTGAGCTGCCTAGGCCAGCATTCGAACCGCCATGGCCGTGTGGGCTCTGGCTCTCCGTGCACAACACTTAGCCACTGCGCTAGGGCCAGCCCTGGTCAGCACGTTTCCGTGGAAGTGCAGTGAGAACTGCGTGAGGTAGTCTACTCTGGCGGGACGCACCCGCGGCCGTCCTATGAGAGTTAGGCTCGGCTTTCTCCTCGTGGCTCATGGACTTGGGTTATGATCCTTTAGAACAGCCACCGTCACTTTTACAGAGGCACCCAGGCACGGATTCTTGGCACCTGAATAGCGACTCTGGGGTCTCAGAGCGGAGTGAGTCTGGCATGGTGGGCTCGGCTGAGGCGGGAGCCCGGCTGTGAGCATTGGCACTGCCAGCAGACACTGAGTCTTGGTCCCGATGGAGAATGCAAAGGCTCGGCCATCTGGAACCAGCAGGGCTGTGCTGGTGAGGACTCGGGCAGGGGACCTGAGAGCGCCCCGGCGGCCAGGGCACTCCGGGTTGAGCGCTATCTACCACTTGTCTCCTGGGTGCAAAAGGCGCCTCCCGCCTTCAGACTAAGCTGCAATCTCATTTCCTTTTTCGCACTGGCGCTCCTGGCCCTGGTTTTGCCTTTACCTGCTTTACCAGCTGGTGCTGCCCGGGCCACTGCTCTACGCGGTGCAGTATCTTCAAGGGCATTTTTATTTGGAATTTCACAAAAGCACAAGAAGTGAATAATGCGATTTGGGTGAGCTTCTGACCCTCTGAAGCCTAGAATTCCAGAAACATCTGAAGACATAAGCTGGACGCATCAGACCAGGCATTGGGTCCAGGAGGGGCCGGGATGAACAGAATTATTAGCAAAACAGACCCCAGAGGAGAGAGGCAAGAGGGGAAGCATTAAGATGTGGAGAGGAGGAAGCCCAGAGGGATTTCTGGGGAGAGAAAGGGCATTCATGAACCTGAGGGTGGGGGTTTCTTTGCAGAGAGACAGCTGATTGGGGCAAGGAGGTGGAGAGTGAATTACATCTAGCGAACCTTAAGGAAGGTGCTCCCCCAGCCGACCCAGCCCTGGTTTCCCAGGACCGTCACCTCCCGCAGCCTGGGGGAGCCCGCAGAGCACGAGGGCGGATCTGCTGTCCCTGTGCACCCCGGCACTCGCTGCAGCAGACAGATGGGCGAGCACGCCCGGGCTATGGGTTTGTGGCCCATGCTTGATGAGCTGGAAGTACTATTTCTGACCACTACAAAGACAGGCAGTCCTTCCTCAAGAGGGATGCCCTGGCCACGGTGGCTGTGAGAGCCCCAAGGTCACCGGGGGAAATGTCGGACAGCGTCTATGATGGCGGCAAGAAAGGCGCCGGAAACAAACGACCTACCAGCAAAGAACTATGGATGAGGCACGTGGTTTAGTGGACAGAGCCCTGGGCCCACGGGACTGTGGGGTGGAGTCTGTCGTCTGCCCACAGTGGAGGAACGCTTTCTCCTTCCTGTCCCTTGGTGTGCTGTAGGGAGACTCAGGGAGGAATCTGTAATGTGATCGGAGTCCCTGGAGGTGCCAGCACTTTATCAAGGGGACCAAACTGCCTGTGCTATACATCAAGAACTTCGTCTTCGATGGGTCTACAGTTTTGTCAAACAGAAGAACCACTCAGTCTCCAGTCAAGAACGATGCTCCCGCCTTAACATTAATAATATCCTACCTTACTACGGGGGGGGGGGAGCAGAAACACAAACCCAAACGCACACACACACTCACACAAACACACGTGTGCACACACACTTACGTACAAACACATACACACACGCAGAGACCGGGGCTGAGGCTGCAGGGCCTGGCCAGCTCTGTGCTGTGTCCATCCTGGGCTGGACATCCTGTCCTCATGAACCCTGGGGGAGCCATGTGACCCGCCCTGGCAAGTGCGGGACGGGTGGGGGAGATGCAGCCCTGGCGGGTCCAGTCCTTAGCGTCTCCTGTGAACCCTCCAGGCTGTCCTTCCTTTCCCCTGATGCTGGCTGCGTGAGAGGGTTCCAGTGCAGGGTCCCCAGCCTGCAGAAGACAGAGGCCACTGGACGGAGGGAGAAGCAACTGGGCTCGGGCCTTCCTGGACTTTGATAGATTTCTGAAGCCAAGATCACAAAGATCAAGATAGAAATAAGCCATATTGCAAATGGAGTGGCTAGTAGCTACTGGTTTATGCAATATGGGGAGTAGGGGGTTGGTATTTTATCAGCTAAAACTGCCTGGAAACTAAGAACAACCAGACAGGGCCAGGTACCTCCTCTAGTTTGGTGATGCCAGCGTGACCGGGGAAGGATCCAGAGAAACCACGTCTGACCTCATCACCTGTATCACTCCCTCCAGGGCGACCACGCCTGTCACACCCCCATGGCCATCCCCACCTCCACCACTGCCGGTGTGAGCAACGCTGTCCACCAGCACCCCGCCGCCGTCTCACTGCCACGTCCGTTAAGTAAGAACACAATGCTGACTGTGGCCCCTCTGTGAGCTGCGGCTGTGGTCTCCACACCCTGGTGTTGTCTGTGCCCTTGAACCTGGCTGACCTGTGACTTCCTCTTGACCATCAGCGTGTGCTGAACTGGGTCCCAAGGACCGCACAGCCATGTGTGTAAAGCCACACGAAGCCCCAGCTCAGCTCCTGAATGACGGCCACATCAGCTCAGGCCCGTGAGGGACTCGTCCTTGGTGCCCGGCCCTGTCCACTCTCCAGATAACTGGAGCCCTGGCTGACATGTGGCCCCAACATCACAAGATCCCTCCAGGAGAACCCCCTCCAGCTGAGTCCCGTTGACTCCCAGAACCACAGAGAGCCATGTGGAGGTTTTCTTTTTTGTTTGTTTGTTTTTTAAACAATTTTTGCCATAGGGTATGAGTGTTTGCCAGAGACAGAGAGATGGGGACTGTGACAAGCCTCCTCCCCCCAGGGGGGATAGCCACGCCGTAATCCCTTCTCCATTCTTCTCTCCAGATGGTGGGCATGCATGTGCACGCGCCTCGTGTGTTTTCTCAAGACACTGGGTCTGGGACCCTAAGCACGCAGTTGGCCATGTGGGATCCAGCCGCCTTAAGCACCATGCCACTAACCCCATGAGGAAGTTCTCATGCAGTAACAGACACAGAAACGACCACCGGCAGTATTACCAGCTCCCCCATGCCGTCCACGCCCCGTACCACCCTCTTCCCTTCCTCCACCTCCACACCACGGCCAGCACCGCACCATCCTGGAGCCAGCACGGCACACGGTTCCTGCTCACCAGCCCGCACGAGGGTCAGGGCAGCCCTGCCACGTGGACAGCTCTCCTACCTATGGATGAGGGCAGAGGCTCGAAGGTCGAGTAGTGTGTCAAGGTCATAGTGACTGGAGGGACTGGGATTCAGAATCAGGTCGCTAGAGAAGCCAGACCTTGTGGCTCTTCCCAAGTTCATTACACGAACTCGCAGGGTGGAGTGGGGAGATGGTTACCAGAGATCGGCATGAATGGGGGGACTGAAGAGTTCATGCTCAAAGGACGCGAGGATTTCTTAAGTCGTTGGGAAAGTCGTGAGGTATTCTCCTGGGATTTCTATGTAAGAATGCATCGTGACTTTCCGACAACCCAAAAGACTGAAGGGAGACCGGCGGCTGCTCTCCTGCACGGTGACCGCGGTCAGTAGTAATGCACTGAAGGCGGCTGAAGGGTAGCTGTTTAATGTTCTAACCACAAAGAATGGGGAGCCGGCGAGGTGACGCGTATGCCAATCAACTTGCTGTAGTCTCTCCGTAATGCACGCATAGACCAAAGCCTCACACCCTACCTGTAAGTACACACAATCCTCATTTGTCAACTGAAAAAAACAGGCAGATAAATTCTTTTTTTTAAAAAAAAACCCTGAGTTTTGAGTCTGTCTATTCTAGAAGAAGGAATTGAAAAACCAAGCTCTTGTAGTTACTGCTCCTCTTAAGCAAGTCAGCATGTGCCAGACTACCAGGCTGGAAAAAACAAAACAAAACAAAGACAGAAACCAACCTGGTGGAAGAGGCTGGGCAAGAAACACCACGGCTAAGATGGGTGATCTCAATACACCCTTCAAAAGGAAAACGAACACCCCGCGAGGGCTGGTGCCACCTTCAGGGCCCCCCAGTAATAACCCCAATTCTATTTCCTTTTTTTTTTTGTTTGTTTGTTTTGGGTGCAGAGAAATACCTACATAACCGAATGAAGACCGTAGCTTTGCTCTTCTGACCCAGTGGTTTCCATTCCCAGCCCCACTGTGCTCTGCCTTCGGTTCAGGTCCCTCATCCCAGGCCGTCTGATGCTCACTGGGCTATGGTCGCCCTGCCCGCCCCCCCAGCCAACAAGGACACCGCAGCCCAATTAGAGTACACGGGACAGGGATAGGCTATTGGTACTTGCCGTATCTGGAAGCATAGTCTGGTCTGGGTACCAAAATAATTTTCTGATAAACTTTGCAAAATGATTGAAGTTCAGCATCAAAAGGACGCTGTGTTGTCCCCACGATCAGAATCCTATCGTCTGGTTTCAGGAGTTTTAGGATTTTGGGGAGCTGTTTTTTCAGGCGTTTCGGTTCATTCTGAGAGAAAGAGAAAGGGGGAAAATTAGCCTCTGTGTAGAAAAAATCATGAAAAACTGGAGGAATGTACTCTCAGAGAATGCTCGGAGGCACGAGTGTCAAAGTGAGCTCGAAGCTCTGAGAAACAGTGTCCGAAGGCATGTCCTGGGAGCAGTTGTGGAATGCGCTTGCTAGTGTGAACGGGGGATTTTTAATTGTCTGTGCTTCCTTTCTTCAATCTCTGGTATTGACATTTGGAAAGTGGGAAGGAAGGAAGCACCTGACTGAACATTGGAGCACCTTGACCCCAAGAATGGGAAATAGTGGCTGACTTCCAAGGGGAAGGAAGCTCGCTGGGACTTCTAATTCGTCCGTGGTGTTCCCAACTTCCTGAGTAGTTTGGGAGGTCAACTCAAGACTTCCTTGGCTGACTGCTGTAACAATGAGGGACAGAGGTCCTGGATCGCGTGTCTGAAAAATACCTGGTTACATAAGACTGTGAAACTCTCTCGGAAGCTGCTTGGAAACACTCTGGGCCTGTGTTATTCTAGTAGATTTCGGCAGTAGTGAGGGAGAGGAGTGAGTGCGGGCGGATGAACCTCTGTTCAGTAGCCCAGGGAGGATAACTTGGTCCATGAATATCAGTTCTGGCCATGTTGCCATGGGCAACATCCTTACTTAACATTAACCCTGACTAGCACAGGCAAGCAAAGAGGAAAGAGGCAAGAAGGACCATGGGAGGGTGATGTGAGAGAGCCACAGGCTTCACAAGCATAATTTTGGCCACCTTTTGTTCCCAGGTGGCTGATCGCTAAGGATGTTTTGCATCTTTTCATGTACGTATTGGTCACCCATGTATCTTTGGAAATATGTGGTTCAGATCCTTGGCCCATTGGCTTATTGGTCTTTTTTTTTTTTTTTTTAATGTTCTAGATACAAGTTCTGTATCAGTACATCATCTACAAATATGTTCTCCCACTTCATGGGTTATTTTTTCATTTTCTTGCCACAAAAATGTTCTAAATTTTGATGCTTGTGCTTTTGGTGTCATATCTAAACAACCATTGCACAATCCAAAGTAAAGACCTATAATCTATATTTTCTTCTAAGATTTCTATAGTTTTAGTTCTCTGTTACAGTATGAGTTGATTTTTTAATATATAGTGTGAGGTAGGGGTCCAGCTTAATTTTTTTGCTGGTGGCCATGTAGTTGTCTCAGCACAATTTGTTACAAGGCTATTCTTTCCACACAGAATTATCTTGGCACCTTTGTAAAAAAACCCAATTGACTATTAAAGTAGGGCTTATTTCTAGACTCTTAAGTCTAGCCCATTGTTCTATATGTCTCTGCTTATACAGTATCATGCTGCCTTTTTTTTTTTTCTTTTTTTGGAGAGGTTTTTGCTATAGGGCGCGTGCGCTCACCAGAAAG